CATTGAGTCAGAACCGACCCAGAGCTGATCCTCTGAAAGGTTTTCAGAGGAAGTTCATTGCTCAGGAGACTGCCTAACCTTCTCCCATAGAACAGCCGGTGGATTTGAACCAAATGCCTTCAGGGATGGGAGCGCAGCTTCTTGCCACTAATCTACCAGTGCTTCCTTTTCAACAGACTTGCAAACCAAGAACAGAAGGGTGTGGGGGGAGAGGAATAGACTAGTAGACCAAATCACAGACAAGTGTATCTTATTTCCTCTAAATGTTCATAAAATAATAAAGTCTTACACCTCTACAAGTTTTGCTTGAATTTTTAATGTTAATTAATAGTCACACGTCTTTATGGCTCATGTATTTCCAAATTCCCCTTTCTGGGACATAGGATCCAAGCAACTTTTGATTATCCTGCCTGATAAAAAGGAGTTCAATTATGAAGAATCCAAACCAGTAAATAATAGTTCCATCTATTCATTCACATGTACCTCATCCAGTAACTAGCTACAGCTTTCTTAATTCAAAGAGGTACAATGAGATGACCCAGAGTCTGAAGTTGCCCTGTGGCCTAAATTAAAGGGCTAATAAAACACATGAATTATTAAAATCTTATACTGACAGATATCCCTAATTCAATAGCATACATATAGCTAATAAAGTAACGAAAACTTCAGTTTTTCTCTTTGAGCTATCTAAAATCTTCACTGCCTATTCTATATAGAGGCCAAATATCAGATATTGCTGTCTCAATACCACCCAGCCTGAGTTCTATTGCCAAGGTCTCTGATACTAATGAAATATAACAAACCCAGTCATTTTAGTGCCATTCATAAACTACAAAAGTAACAAGTATCACCTTCTTAAAGAAAACACAGCCCATGGTCAGAAGGAAGACTAAAGACCACCACATAAACAACTAGGAACTGCTAGTGCCTCAAAACCAAGCATTCTATTTGTCAATATACATCTTAACAAACCTATATAACTAGGGTAAGAGGGATAGGTGTATTGGAGTCAGTGAGACCAGCTCAGGAAAGGGCAGGGTTCAGAGCTACTGTACCTAGGGTCACTATGAGTCGCAGGAAACTCAATGGCACAAAGCAACAACGTATATTCACTCAAGGATTTCTGTTATGATCAAAACTACTGACAGAAGCCTTAAAAAAATCACAAATTAACTACAACAAGGTACATAAATGGTTATATAGTCCCTACAAAAGGCGAAGTTATGCCCTAAGTTTTCTCCCAAAAACCCTAGGTTATTTCTTCCAGTATCCTTCATTAGGTAGACAGGAGATCCAGTGGTATAGTTTATTACATGTTGGGTGGCCAAATAAAAGGTTGACAGTTCAAATCCACCACAAACTTTGGGGGGAGAATGATGAGGCAGTCTATTCTTGTTAAGATTTACAGTCTCTTACTAGGAAAAGAGTGGATAGATTATGAACACTGCATTGGAACAGATGAAGGAAAGAAGTATTAAAAAGAAATATGTGATTAGACATTGTATGAATGACAACAGTCCAGAGTAAGAGATGCATTGCAAAGTAGTGTGGAAGAGGGGGAAGAGATAGAGGAAAATATGCAACAATGACTGAATATTGTAGAGGGAAAAAATGCACTGGGGAATAGAGAAAAATGTGCAACAATGAACGAATGAAAATCCAACTTTTCTGTAAATTTTCATTTAAATCACAAAAGTTTTATAGTCTCAAAAATCCAATGGAAGGTCACCAGGAACTGGAATCAACTTATTAATCTGGTAATTAGACAGAAATTGATCTTCTAACCAAAAAGCAAATTAAAAAGCCTTTCCAAAATCCAAAGTATAAACACAGTGAACTACCTTCGTCTCCACATCTTCCTGCTCCCTACACCATTAACACTATAGTTGTAAATAACACAGCTAACACTATGTGTCACTATTTAAATCACAATCAACTGTATACTATAAATCTGGGGCTTAAGTGTTGAGTTCTTTTTCAAGAGGTGAAAGATAAATTATGAGATAATTTGGTAGAAGGATTATACTGAGACAGAAAAATGATCATGAAAGATACTTTTCTTTGGAAAATAAACCACAAAAGGGAGTTAAGAAGATGAAAGTAAAGGCTCCTTATGGTCCTAAGTGACAACAGAAATGTTTTTATCCATTAAAAAAAAATAAATAGCTATGGGCTACCTAGAACATTGGGTTAATGTTACAGCAAACAGAATTACTGAGTTAAAAGAGTTACGTGATGCAAAACCTACTTCTCCAACATGAGACACAATTCATTCCGTATTAATGACCAGACTGCAGAATAGCACTTGTTGTATATCCTACAGCTAAAATAAGAAATCTAAAGTTAAGACATTTATAGAAAAATGCTTTTTCTGTGAAAACTCTGAGGTTTCGGAAATGTATGTCCACATAAACTTGGACCTAGAAGCCAAGGGTGGAAAAGAAATCCCGTCAAGCCTGAGCAAGCCAGTGTAAACCACAAAGGGAAGCAGGCCCCACCACGCTGGGGAGCCATCTTTAGTACATCACTGCTCTTCATCTAACAATATGCTGATGAGTAACTGTGGGGCAGGTCCTCAAAGTTTTTACAAGCAAAGAAAACATTTCTAAGGCCTCAAGGAATGTTGAGGCCTGTCAGCCCAAAAGGATAAGCTTTCCTTCACATGTTCTTTGACTAGCTAAGCCAGGGGAGAGGAGGCCACAGAGAATATTCCCTTGAGTGTATGACATTAATGTACGTAGGGAAAGATGAAAGACCAACCCAAACCTTTTCTTTGCCTACCTCTTCCAGCCGCCGCCTCTGTTCCTTCTGCTGCTCAATACGTTTCTGTCTCTCAGCTAGTAACTGCCTTTTATATTCCTCCTGCTCGCGGAGCTGCTGCTCCTGTAGAAGCTGCTGTCTGCGAAGAGCCTCGGAACGTTCCTTGTTCTCCTGCTGCAGTCTCAAAAAATCCCGTCGAAGAGTTGATTCTCCAGGCACGTTGACGATGGAGCTGTGGGAAGAAGGCAGGGCTGTAAAGGATGGACAAATAACACAGCTGTCTAGAAGCGACACAGCAGCAGCAGCAGTAATGCTACTCTACTCTCATCTTCTTCATAGCTTACTCTCAGTCTTGGGATTCAACAGTTTAGAATTCATAAATTCAAAATATGTAAAATGAAATCGCCATCTCTGAAGTCACTAAGTCCCCCTTCAACCACCTTATTTTCCATCACCAAGGGAAAACCTCATCTTGCCATTCTGGTAGGCTATGAACATCACAGTAGTCTTCAGTACTTAGCTTTGCTTCATATTCTCTGCCTGATGGAACATCACATATTCCCCTCCCACTTTTATTTCCAAGGTCAGCATCTGAGCCCAAGTAAGTCCTCCAAATTAGCCATTGATAAAATAAATTAAATAGCATCATTCCCAGCTGGTCGCCCTGCTTTAGGTCATCTGTCTGCTTCCAAACCACCCAGAATAAACTGTCAAACAAACTTCTTAAAGGGGTTCCTTTTATTATCTTATTTACAAAAGTTATATTGCTCATAAAATTGGCTCAAATTCCTCTAAAATTTTTATGTCTACAACGAACTCAAATCTTCTCCTAAATAAGGAGAAAAATGTATTAGTTTCCACAATGAATTCTTTCACCTCTTGGCACACTCTCTTCAAACTTGCATTCTCTGGCACACAGGCCCTCACAGGTTTCCCAGCATACCCTTCCATTCTTTTTTTGTTCAGTCAGCCAGCCATGTGTAGCTGCAGCATGGATGACTGCAAGGTAAACCTGCTGTTAAAACCCAAAAATCCCTTTGCCCTGATTAATCATGGGTCCAACGATCAAATTTTACTCTTTAACTTCTGCTTTACTGTACTTCAGAAAGTCACAGAAAAACGAAATCAGAGATCATAGACAAGATCGTGAAAGAATACACCTTAACAAAGGCATGCAAGTAAACAAAAAGGTAGAAGGGAAGAAAAATTGTTCTCTGCAAAAGGTGAAGTGTTTTCCAAAAAAGGCCCTAAACCACATGAACAGCACAATTCTTTTTGTGCAGGATGATCTCATAAGAAAATGTGAAGAGTTGTTATAAACATGGAACTGACTCACAACTGACCTTCCAGAATATTTTCAGAAGCTGGAAAGTGCATGGGAAGAGAATGCTCATCTTTTTTCCTGCAGAGCAGCGGGTAGATTTGAACTGCCTGTCTCTGGGTTGGCAGAACAACTCCTTATCCACTAGGCCACCAGCGCTCCCTATATAGCATAAGGCAGTTCCTATAACCTCATGCAGCTAAATGACAGGGTGAGAAGGGCACACACATCCTTTATAAAGAATCATTTGACAAAAGGATTCAGAAATCCTCTTTTCAGGAAAATCCTCTTTTCAGGAAGATCCTCTTGGGAATCTTCCAAAGAACCAAGAAGGGTAAAGAAAGTATTCCCAAGTTGGTTGAAGGGTCCTTTACACTATATAGGAATCTTTTGAAATTCTAAAAAAAACACTTTATGTTACACATATGTATCTTTGGAAATCTGTCATCAGCATGAAACTTCAATCTCTATATGAGCTGGTGGCTGAACACGGGTTTTATTGTTACCTTGGCTCCCCTTCCTGTTCAGGCACTTCCTCTTCTTCTTCCTCACTTCCACTGTACTCATACTCTGTTTCATCTGCAGAGAACAGGACAAAAGAAAAAGGATGTTGTACAAATCATGACATGTTTATGTACAGGCAGCATCTCCAATATCATAGCAGAAAGGAAACACAACATTTCTTGTGAAAACAGCAAAGTGTACCGGAGAACCTGGGGGAGAAGAGGGGCGTCACATCCCACCCCACAGCAAATGGTGGTAATCTTCTGAGTGAGTCTTACTCCCCGCAAGGGAGTAGATTCATGGTGTCCAAGACCCTTTAAGGCAATGAAATACTGAGGAAGTAGAGCCATGGGAAAGCTCTCCAGAGCACCTGACTCCTAAGACAAAGTGGCCCCAAAGTGCCTGCAAATTGAGCCAGTCCATTTTCTGACTTCAGGAGAGCTTTAACTGGTGAGACTAATAGATACAACTAATAGAATTTATGTGGTTGCTCTGACCAACCAGAGACATACTGAGAAAGCAACAGGTGAAAAAGTCTACTGTCCTGACAAAACGTAAAACACCACGTAGGTGCATATTAAGAGCAGAAAACAAAAAGCCACAGGGAAAACTAAAGAAATAATACAGTAAGGAAACAAAACAAAAACTGCCCTACTTAAAGTAGACTTCACATAAGTGCTTCAACCCAAATAACGTATTTCCACTTCAACAGGTCTTGTAACATTTTCCCAAAATAAGAGGTGGTTTTACTGGTCCCTTCACTTAATGTCAGTTGGTATCTAAGTAGAAGTGAGTAATTTCACTGCAGGAAGCTTGCAAAGCCAGATATACTGAACAGACCTGGTAAGGAGTTGTGCTGCCAACTCAAAAGCATATGGTTCAAATCCACCAACCGCTCCATGAGAGCATTTACTGCTTCTGATAACGCACTGGAGGGTCAGCTACGGGTCGGTTCTGACTTGATGGTAAACAACAACAATGCTCACTAACTACAAAAAACTAAGGGAAAATCTGTTTTCTGGTAAGATGGGCCAGACAATTTAAGACATAATTCAAGAAAATGTCATCACATATATGGCACTAGTTTTTATTTATATGGGATGTAGAAAAGATGATAAGAAAAAATGATCAAAAGTAATGTATCATTTTCTCAGTGATACAAAGATATTCTTTTTAAGGGAAAAGCCAACCAATACCTGTGACTTCTTGAATCTTGTAAGGACATTCTTGGTTATGTTTAAAATTGTACATCATGAACTGTTAACTGGTGACGGGAGAAACTAAAAGGTATTTGGGAGATGAGTACAGAGAGGGAGGTCAGAGGAACTTAAAGATAATGGGGGAAATGACCTCAGAAGAGTCATTGTGTCTAATGTCATTTAAGTAAAAAAGTCACCTTACCCCCTCAACCCTTTGTTCACTTTTTCCTTTATAACTAAATATCAAAGAACACTTCTGCCCCCCTGAAAATTGATGAAGCTCTGACTAGGAAGACAGGTTATTCAAGATTCAAATAAACATGTGAAAAATCCAGTATACAGGCCAGACAATGACCCTTCAATCAACTCTTAGATCTTGAACTTGCTTTATTTAAGCCTCTTATTTTACACAAGAATCAAGGGTTGGTGTACTGGAAATAGAGACCTTCCTTATGTTTTATGTAAAAGAAATGTAACATAGGTAGCACAGGCCTAATCACACAAAGTCTATTGGAGTAAAAAAAATCTGATAGGTTCTGGAGAAGACTAACGGAAAAAATTTATGCTGTGGCTTACAGGTGATGCTCAATAACCCTGAGTGACATATACCAGGGCATGCACAAAGGAGGAGGATGGGAGTCATAATAGAGCCATCTTCTGAGGAAGAACCAGAAAAAGATCCAGCTAAGCTAGGCTACCAGAGTGTCAGTCTATTTGCTTCCTGCTTGACGATAACTGTGAGGGTCAAGCAACACCGCCTAGAGCCAGGCTGGGTCCTACACCTTACCACTGAACTGCAAGAGCAAAGACAGGCTCAGTGAGCCAAAGAGATTTCATACCTTTCTCTCCTCTCTTCTTTCTGGTCCGGTCTATGTGGTCTTTAAGCTGGATTCTAACTTGCCTTTCATTTGGCTGATCCCTTATAAAAGGATGTTTCAAAAGCTGCTCTGTGGAGGGTCGCTGCATATAATTCTTCACCAGGCAGCCTTCTATAAAACTAAAAAATTTCTTGGACCTGGAAGAAGAAGAAGAAGGAAAAAAGTGTTATCAACAAATTTCTATTACAACGAGCTCTAAAATATCAGTTAACAACCAAGTCTGGAAACAAGAAGACCCTCAAAATTCACCATGACCACTGTGCAAGCTGTTGTTGCTGGGCATGTGGAGGTGATTCCAAGGCACAGCAACCTTTTATACAACTGAAAGGAACTCGGCCCATACTCACAATCACTGCAATCTGGAAGTGCTTTGCTATAACCTGTTAGTCAACCTATTGTTGATGGTGTCTGGAAGGTGACCCGCAGGAGAAAATAATGAGGTCACTGGCCTTGGAGATTATGGGGAAATGATCCTTATATGAAATAACTTTTCCTAATTAGGAAAATCAAAAGTCAGGTAATCAAAAGATGAAATACATTGGGGAAGTCTACTGTCAGGGACCTTTCTCCAAAGTGCTAAAGAGCAATGATGGCAGTCTAGAGAATAAGGTGCACCTGATCCAGGCCATCGTCTTTGCCATTACTTGTTATGCATCAGAGAGCAAAACAATGACTAAGGATAACAAAAGAACTGATGCCTTTAAGTTGGGGCACTGGAGGAGAGTACTGAACATTCCACAGACCACCAAGAGAACAAACAGGTCTGACTTAGAGGGTGAAACCAAGTTTGTCCTTGGAGACAAGGATTTTGAAGCTCTGTCTCACATACTTTGGGTTTGTAGCCAGAAGGGACCAATCCTCAGAGAAGGACTCCATGCTTGGAAGGGTGGAGGGACAGAGCAAGAGAGGAAGACTCCAAAAGGCAAGGTTCAGAGCTACTGTTCCTAAGGTCACTATGAGTAACCATGGAGAGAAGATCCTAAGTTGGGTGGCTGGAGTCATTTTACTTTCCTTTCAATCTTTAATTCACTTTGTTGTGATTATTTAGCTTAATGTACAACGCTTAATTGCTTTTGTAATTGAAATAGGAACTCACTCACAATGCTAAGGGATCAAAAGCATCAATTAAATACAATTTAGAAGTTTTCCCTATCGTACCACAAGTAGAGAACCATGATGAAGCCAGACTTAAATGATCTGGGCTCTTAAACTTAATGCTGTTTATTAAGTACTTAATCTAGATGTACAGAAGGCAAGGGGGATAGATGAAGTTTCTGCAAAAATGAGTCTAGGCAGTGGAGACAAGGGAATGGAACCTAGTAGCCAAGGACAAAACCCCACCAAGAAATAGAGTCAAGTCAGTGACCAACTGCTGGGATTCTTGCGCCTTGATCACACTTAAATAAGAAGGTCATACTACTTTATTTATCCAAAGAATTGCATCAGCTCCCTATTAATGTAGAAGTGAAATTAATAGTTTTATTAAGTAAAGACTCTATCATCTTCATGTAACCTAGCAGCCACTTTTGTTCATGCCCATTTCCACACACCTGTCTTTTAGCCTTTGCTCAAGACAGTGGGACCCGTCCTATCCAGTGAACCTCAGCCTAAGCATCGTCTCTTCTTGGAAGCCTTTTCTCCACTCCCCACAGGAGGTAGGAGCTCTTCTTTTGGGTCGTCTGCATTTAACAGACCACAGTTCATGTTTCTATTTCTCCTGCTGGTTTGAAATGGCAGAGCTCAGAAACTAGGTCCTTTTTTCCAAGTCACTAGCAATGTGCAACCTAGCCATGGTAAAACTCAACACATGTGCAATAAATTTTTGTTGAATGAATGAATACATGGTTCTTCAGTCTTTAGAAATATAACTTAGGAAATTAGTTCAGTTCTCTCCAATATGTCACCATTTTAAAGAAACATTTCTATTGCCTTGTGTTTTCATTTGAGAGAGAAAAGAAATAAGAGCAAAATTCCCATTGAAAAGTAAGTAGAGGACAGGGTCTCTTTCCTAAGATTTTTATAGGAACTAACACAAACTTCATCCCTAGAGCATGTTGGAGGCCTAGTCCACAGGCAGCTGGACTGGTGACACATGACCCGCTCCAGGACCTCGAATCTATTAGCCACATCCAGTGTGTTTTATAGACTCAGCAACCCAATGGAGGGTCAGCTGTAAGTTGGTTGATGACATGAAGTTTGAGTTTTAACCCAAACTAGTACTTTTCAACAATACTTCAATTCTAAAGACTTTCATATCTCTCCACAGATAGCAATTCTGTTAGGCTAACATACAGAACTCTGGAGGAATAATCTACTGTCTTGTGCTAGTATCCAATAGGCTCATGTGTCTCAAATTCACAGCTGTCTTGCAGGGGGAAAATGGGTAGTCTCCTCTGCTTATGATGTCCTGCCTTAGAAACCAGATGGAAAGCTGCACCAGGATCCATCCGATATCACTGTATAAAGTATAATGCAACAATAGATGGAAAAGCAAGAGCCCAAATAAAAGGAGGGTTTTTGAAAATATGTTCTTTCAAAAAGAGAAAGGAGGTATCTAGCTTCAAATATATAAAAACTAATAAAAATCTCCATTAATTTTAAAATCTAATTTAACCTGAACTACTCTGGTGGCCAAGTGGTAAGAAGCTGCGCTATGATCCCAAAGGCATGTGGTTGGAATCCAGTGGCTACTCTGTGGGAGAAGGATGGGAAATCTGCTCCCATTGCCTCTGAAAACCTGCTGGAGGGTTGAGTTATGGGGTGGTTCCAACTCAACAGCACACAACAACATTAACTGGTCAATAGCCTTGGAAAAGAGGGCCTATTCCAAAAGCAGGTAGGACTCAATTTATCAGACAGAGAATAAAAATATCAGGCTCCATGTAATTATTTTCACAATATAACTTCGCTTCATTTTCAACTAGATGTTTTATAGTATTATCTCTATTTTTCACTCATTGTCGCATGCAGCTGATTGCAACATGTATTAAATTCTGTAAAGTATCCTTGCGAATGAGAGAACAGTCAGCACAGAACACCATAATATCTTGAGGTCTGTGGCAAATGAGAGGCATATTCTTGCAGTCAGCTGAGGTATATTCAGAACCCTGATGGTCAAGTGGTAAGAAGCTGTGCTGCCACCTAAGAGCAGGAGGTTCGAATCTACCAGAGGCCCAACTAGAAAGATTAGCAATTTTCTCCCATGTGATTTATAGCCTCTGAAAATCTAAAGGAGGGTCAGCTATGAGGTTCTGACTCAACAGCACTTAACAACCGCTCGTCAATACAGCTTTGTGTCTTCAATGTAATGTGAAGAGAGTTTATCAAGAAATTTAAAAAAGTATTAAATACACAGTGTTTTGGGGTACTGGTTTACATGCTCCTGCAATTCAGAATGGTCAGAACTTTGTTTCAGAGCAAAGTAAACCTAAAAAAGGAAACCATTTAAAGAAGAAAGAAAAGAACAAGAACAAAAACCATACATCGCTTACCATTTTTTTGACTTCAGCCGGGGAGGAGGGTTTCTGGGAATGAGAAACAGTGCTCTCATAGGATGCATGTCACAGAGAGCTGGGGAGAGGAGATGGTTGTGTGAGTATAGAACTTATTTCACTCATTCCTGATGTCTAGGGCTAACTCATAACACCAAATGCTCCATCCCATTGTCCAACTCATGTGCTTTACGTCAACAAGTCTAGACATGTCATTATGAACTATGAGACACAGCCCCTTGAACTTCCCACAGAAAATCAGTACGATATAAGAAGCACAAGTGTAGTAAGAATACGCAACTTCAAGCCGACACTGGAAAGTTTTCAAAAATAAAAAATATGCAGAAAGTCTTAAAAGACTTAACACTTTAAGCTTCTAAATATTTCTAATAATATCATTAAATTATTTGTATTTTCATGTGGTTGGTGTGTGGATTAAATGAAAGGTTTTAACATCTCTCCCACAGAATAAACACAAACTAAGCCCTCCACAAAAAATTACTTGTTCACCACTCTATTATTTCTATGAAAAAGCAAAAAGAAGTGAGTCAAAACTTAAACTGTTTTAATTCTATGCAATTACTGTTTGTATCTCTCTAGCTCTTGCCCCACTGAAGATGCTTCAGGCACACGTGTTATGCATCAATATGTCACAATAAGCTATGTGCATCTTCAGGAGTTTATTTCCCCTCAACAGAATCTTAAAAAGCCACCTGGGAAGTGGGGCTGAGAAGCAGAGAATAGTAAACCCATTATAAAAGAAAACTGAGGTAAAAAATTAGGCAGTATTTCCCCTTCCTAGATTGCTTGAAGGGAATGTGTAGTATTCGAAGCAGATATTCATTTCTGTATTACAAACTAATTTTTAGCTGTTGGTATTTTCATTCATTCAACAAGTATTTATTCAGCACCAACTATGTACCAATTATTATGTATACTTCATGTATACCTTTCCTTAGGGGGACCAGCATAAAATGCTTTTGTTCTCTAAAAGCATGCCCATGTCTGACCGAAAATCAGTTTCATGAAGCTCTTACTAGATTTATTTCCAGGAGAAGCAAACATTCTTACAAAAGGCAAAAAAACGTTCACCAGCAATAGGAAAAAAAGAGTTCCATGGATGAAAAGTTATGTCTGTACCAAAACATTAATAATAATAATAAATCATTAAGTTTAGATTCCAAAATGAACAGTAGATTCCCAAAACTGCTTTTACATAAAGGACTTCTATTTATTTAAAATTCCCACAAAGAAATGCCATTCCAGAAATGGCAAGATCTATGGAGTTGGTCTTTCTGAACATTTAAAGTTGGGTTTAAGTTACCTAAAACACAAGGGCTAAATAAAGACAACAGGTTACTTACGGGGAGCGCCCTCTGCCATCTCAATGGCTGTAATGCCACAAGACCAAAGATCACTCTGCAAAAATAAAACAGTATGTAGTAAGTACCTTATCAGTTATGAGGTCGGTAACTGGTAATTCCTAGTGTTCAGGCAAATTAAATGAAAGCCTTCTTTGCTGGAAAAGCTTACAAGGAGTTTGCCAGAAAACAAAAAAGAGCAAACACATTTATAAGAATACCTTACACAGAATAAAATTGTTATTATTTAAAGATTAAATCAATTTGCTAATTAAACTAATAATCCTCAACTAGAGAGAGTTGACATAAGAGCCTAACAGCCCCACAGGATGGCCTATGGCCTGGCATGTTTCTTTGTGTCTTTATAAACAGTCAACAGTTTAGACCTCCATTCATATTTATTTTTATATCTAATACTTCAAAGGTATAATTTTAAAAGTTTGAAGGGCGGAAACTTGTATATGTTAAAAAAGTGTCCCATCTAAATTGTTGAACTCCACCACAGTATACTAATTCCTGTTACTGAAAATGTCTATTTTCCCTTCAAATTAAATAAAGGGAGCATTATCAATTTAAAATGTCTTTCTGTCATGAAATCCGTTCCTCCTGATTATGGTTGTCGCTGTGTACCTCTGAGTGAGAACTGACCCACAGCTGACCCTCCAGTGGATTTTCAGAGGCAGTAAATCGTGCAGGAGTTGACTGCCATGAGGTGATGAGGCTCTGGTGGCCTAGTGGGTAAGAAATTCCTCCTGAAATTCCTACAATGTTAATTTTTAAGACTAGAACTTCAAATTTTATTCTCTATTCAAATATAAGTTCCATGAAAGCAGGCATTTCTGTTTGTCTTCTTCACTTAGATATGCCAAGAATCAGAATGGCATATGGCAGACAGTGACTAAACACTGGGTGATAAATGAATGATGTCCAACCTCCAGTATGTCTTAAAACTCAAGCAAGATTTTAAAGCAGCAAATAACTTCTTTATTTCATTACTATCCTTTCATTTACATGTTATTCAAACCAAGAAATTATTTAAACTGAGTCAGCTTAAAAAGTTTTAAAAGAATTCATAATTATGTTAAAAACAAATCTCAGGTACATCTCTTTGAATATAAGAATAAGAACAAGCCTGTGGATTTTTGTCCTGTTTTAATGGAGATTTCTAGTCTTATGGTGCAAAGCAAGGGTCAACTGTTCTAGCCCAGTGACCAATATCCATGATGAGACAAGAGATGTTATCAATTCTGAGGTAATGCAAGGCAAAGCATACTCATTATCTGTGAGGTAGATCTTGCTAAAAAAAAATGTTTTCCTGGATACTAAATAAGCCTTTCTAGTTTATGGGAAACAAACTAAACAACATCACAAAAAAAGTAAACAGACAAATCTAGAGAGTGGAAATTTTGTACAAGGCCAAGTCTCTTCATGTCAACTGTTATCAAAGGGGAGAGGACGGAAGTACCCTGTAGATGGACAGGCTGAACAACAAAAACATCAGATACAACTGAAATAAGTAATTCTTTTTTCAATTACTTAAGTGTGATAATAGCTAGGGTATGATAAAATGTTCTCAAATTTTAGAGCTATGTAAGGTTGTATTAAAGAGTCACAAAACCCACAATCCACTTTAAAATATTTAGCCTATAAAAATAAAGAATTTTCTCGGCATCAGATGTTAAATTAAGGTCATATTAACCAGATGTTCTTAATAGGTTAATTAAATATTATCTGTATCATCTATGAAGTATACTAAGATAAACTCAATTTTGAGTATTATTACTAAGTACATTAACACTCTGGCTCACTTCATAAATGCAAAGATACTTCTATAAAAAAATTCTGTAAGCATTTTCAGTGTGAATCTGATTATCAAACATGAGTTTCATACCACAATCAAAGAAGCAATAATATTGATTCCAATTCCCGACAACAGTAATGACTTATGTTTGTGTACCAAATCCAAACTGTAAAGCTCTTCAATAAGAGTATTCTAGAAAATCCACATGTAAAACTCCTGCTACCAACTGATATTATAAACTTTAAAAACAACTTATTCCAATATATTCTTCAAGTATGTAAGTAAACACAGCAGAAATATTTAATGTACATTATGACCAAAAAGTTCTACACACAGTGATGAAAGCAGCCTAGGAACCAGTGCATTATTTGTTAGGGACAAGAGAGCTAGAATGGATTGAAGAAAGCATCAAAATGCATTCCAGGCAAAGTCAAGATTTCAGGGGGTGGGAACCAACAAAAACCCCACCCAACATTAAAAATCTAGACAGAGGTTAAGAGTGTGCTATTTATTAGTAAGCAAGGTTCCCATTCCTCAGGAATGTCATGGGCTCAGTGACAGACGCCTCTTACTCTGTAGTCATAGGTGGCATCCGGGTTCTCATCACAGGCAATGACTTCGGGAGCCATCCAGTAGGGGGTGCCGATGAACGTGTTTCTCCTCCCTACTGTCCTGTCCAGCTGAGCACTCACACCGAAATCAACTGTAGGAGGAAAAGTAGGAGCAATGAACGGGCAAATTTTAAAAGGAAACAAAAGAAGGTGGCCACAGAGGGAACTTGTGTAGTAATGTTTCATGAATGTGAAGATCTCAAGTCAGGTGGTACCAGTAAGGAATACTTTCTAGAGAAAAGCCACTGGCACCCGAGTTCACTAGTCTGTAAGGGCCAGGAGACCTGGATCAAGTCAGAAGACCTGGATCAGCCCAGCAGAGGGCCCTCTGAAGGAGCAGCAGTTTTCAGAGAGCACGACCACCATGATCATGTTACAGAAAACCCACGTTTAGGAGAAATGACTGGAAACCACTTGGTTTTGCTTCTTACACAGCAGTAATCTCTATGTAAAGATTTAAAAACCACAAAGACTTTCTTGAAAAGAACAGAGAACTGCATTAAGTAAAAGGAATCAACCTCAATCTTAAATAAACTAAGAATAATCCCCCAAAGTATCTGGAACTTCCTCTAATTTTTCAGAACAACTTCTACATCCCACCCAATTTAATGGTGCCTATAATCTAAAGGAAAGTCCAAGGCTGGGAGAGAGAGCTGGCAGGAAAATTACAGGTCTACACTGCCACTCTGTACCCAGCAGGAGTACACAAAGCAGCAGCGATAGTTTCATGCAAAAGGGCCTAGAAGTGCTGAGATCAATCACAGAGGTTGTAGATTCAATTCCTGTGTATAGAACACGCTGAGGAAACTACCTGGTCAAGATTAGCTCACTCAAGGAATAAGTTCACTCAAGGAATTTCACCCTTGAAATAAGCAACACACGGGCCATAAGGTTCAAAAACCTAAGCAGGCTTCAAAGCAACTGGCCCGTCAACTAAATGACTTAAGGGCTACCACAGGCCAAGCACCATGAGTTCTATGTCAGTAACACAGAGCTGTCTCATGTATGAGAACAATTACTCTCTTAGGTTAGCTTTTAGGGAGCTTTTGCTTCTGGCCTCATAGTAAAGTAGTGCTGCCAACCCAAAGCTACTCTGTGAGAGGAAAACAGGTAATCCCGTCACTTGCAATTTATTGCCTCGAAAAACTCGCTGGATGGTCTGCTGTAAGTTAGTTCCAACTTGATAATACACAATAATATCATCTTAGCTTTTAAAAGGCTTTTCAAATTGGGTACTTTATTCTTCCAAAGATGACCAGTAAGTGTAGGCACACTGTAAGAGATCAGTTTAAAAGCGATATAGGTTGCATAGTGGAGTGCACTTGGGGCAGTGGATTGTATACCAATGAAGGATTTTCTTTTGCTTTTCAAAAAGAGAAGCTGGGGGGGGGGGGCACGCAGGCAGAAAAGTGCTTCAATGAATGAATGGAAATCCAAAATCTCTGTCAATGTTCATTAAAATAAATACAATTGGGGAAAAAACAATTGTAATATCTTTTCCTAAGTATAATTACTGTGCATAACACTTTGCAAAGAAAGGCAAACTTCTGACCACAAAGAATTTTTTTCCTGGTATTGAAGAGAAGAAAAGTTACTCCTAGTTCTCTTTAAGGATTTGAGGGAAACCATAATGACAGTGGAAGGACACTTGTAGGGAAACAAAAGCTAATTAAGAAAGAGAAAGAATCGGTCAAGTCATCTCTAGAACACACCAAAGATTCCATATATCCACAGATTTATTCAGTCCCTAATGCAACTCAAGGTACAATGCTAGGGAATAGATAAGACGACACTAGTTGCTAACCAAAAGGCAGCCCCTCTGTGAGCCTTCAACTCTACCAGTAACTTCATGGCCAGGAGAAGTTAGAAAATCTCCTTTCATGTGATTTAGATCCTCTTGAAAATCTGCTGGAAGGTACAGCAGTCTAACACGGTCACTCTATGCTAAGCTAGTTCAGTTCTTATCAGACTTGTTTTTGCTAGTTTCTCGCATTAGTGGACAGCTCTGCTACAAGCTGACTCTTTCCCTTATGTTTTTAGCCAGGCTGCATAACTACATACAGATCAGTTCTTAATGGCTTTTCCTTTAGACTAAGCATTGTGAGCACTTTGAGCAGTTAGTTGTTTTCTTGAGCTTGTATAATTTTTAACTTAACCACGTCTCTGGGCGTTGTTTGCCTAAGGGCCTAAAATAGTTACTCGCCCCACTATCAGCAGAATCTCTTCAAGTCCAGTCTTCAGCCGCTGGACCCATGCACTACTGCTTCTTCTGGTTTCTAATTTTAAGTCTGCTAATAAACATAAATTAATGTGATGGGGTTTTTTTTTTCCAGGTCAGTTTTTCTTCTTAGAAAACAGTTTCTTCTTAGAAAACTCATCTTGAGGGACTTTCCCTCTAGGGAGTGAATCCCAACAGTCAGCTACGAGTTGGTTTTGATTCCATGGCAATGAGTTTGCATGTTGAGTATGAGTAGACAGTTACATTGTTAATCCAAAGGCTGAGTTTCTCTCACAGTTCAAACGCACCAGTGGCTCTAATAGAACAAAAATGTGCAATTTCATTGTCCTCTTGTGTGACTGATAAGTCTCCTGAAAACCCACTGGGAGGGTCACCCAGGACTCAAGAGCAATGCATTTTTTAGTTTGAGTAAATCAAATAGTCCTGGTCATTGCATTGTAAGCTTAACTTTGTATTCTGGTAAAGGAGACAGTGCTCCAATGACAGAATTATAGGTAATCATCAGTATAACAAGGGGGAAAAAACACCAACAACCCACAAAGCTGAGAGGGAGATAACATCAATCAGAGGGTCATGGAGGGCCTGTAAGCCTAAGGCAAAACATGCAATATGAAAAGAGAAGGAAGTGCTCCCACTGTGGTGTGTGCAAAGGTCCTGGGGCATGTTCTAGGGCTACAAATAAGATGAGACAGTAACAGGTGTCAGATACTGCTTAGCTTTTTATAGGCAGAGTCTAGATAGTAGTCTAAGTGAAATAAGCTATTAAAGGTCTTAAACAGAGAGACAAGATCTGATTTATCTGCTGTATAGAGAACACAACAGACGATGTGGCTGGGATCAGAGCTAGGCTAAGCAACAAACAAATTTTTAAAATGTGAGTTACAGGCTAAACGACACACATGGCAGAGTCTCATTGGTTATGTCAGGGGCAGATATTAGATAATGCCACATACCCAGTTTCACCTCTGCATTCTCGGTTAGCAGTACGTTCTGGCCCTTGATGTCCCGATGAATCACATGATGAATGTGAAGATGTGCCAGCCCCTAAGTAGAAAATACAACTAAATGTTAGCTCTTCGTTATAAGTAAACAGCCAAGAACGCAGTCCCTGTAACAAAGAGCATATATAGTCCAAAACTTTGTGAGCTCTTATTTAATTCATGTCCAGGGGGTCATCAGAGCGAGAAAGTAGCCTCCTCTTCTCCCAGCATCCCAAATGACTAGATTCCCCCAGTGAGCAGCATCACCATTCTCGAGCTGTGCCTTTAAGACACAGCTGAGATGACTATCTGCCATTTCTCTTGCTATAATTTGTGCTATTTATGTACAGGGTGGTTCCTTTCCCACGCTAAACATTAGTCTGTAGTGGGTGACCCCATGGGTATATCTGAACTAGACACATCCCAGGGGGAAAGTGAAGCACAAAGAGCAGGGTTTAAAATGGTTTTGGACACCAGTTAGCTTCTCCCACTGCACAGTGACCAACTGCTAACTTCTGATCAATCTGATCCCTATGCCAAACACAAAATGCAGTGCTGCTGTTAAAAGTGCTTTGAGCGCCAATCAAACTGACTTCTTTCCCAAGGAAATAAAACCTACTGGGCAGAGAACAATTTTTGTTTTGACCTGATATCTGAAATGCAGCCCAAAAACAAGTCTCTCAAAAGAGGCGGTGGAAGAACAAAAACACATGTTGCATCCAAATATGACCCAGAAGACAGAAACGCATCATTCTTACCACTCATGTTTATTTGCTCTCCCCCTAACTACAGAAGGAAAATCTATAGCTTGCTTCCACCAGACATGTTACTTTTGTGCTCTGAAATGTTAACCAAAAAAGTCTAAATTAGAAGTAAGGTTCTATTTGATTTTTTTTTAAATAAAATTTTTCTTGTACACTGGCTTATGTACAAAGTTCATATACACTGATTATGACACCACATCGTTCTCATTTCCTCAAATTCCGAGACTCTATGATTACCCCTCTACCCATCCTCACCCTGAGTATCTGATTTTCTGGTCTACATTTTTGTGCGGTTTTATTGTCGCAATTGCTATTAGGAGATGGACTAAATACAATCATTGCTCTAAAAATGTAATTTTTTCCAATAGAAGGGGTTTTTTAACAATCATTCTGTGAAACAGAATGCAGTTTACTTTGTAGCTCTGTTCCTTTTTCCACAACACAGTATTCGCACTGTTTTATACTACAAAGCCTGAGAGGATGGGAAGGAGGGGGGAGCACTAAAAGTATACAGTATCTTAGTGTTATAATTAGGAAGAAAGTTCTTTCTCTGAGCATGTATAATTCTCAGCAGCACTTACCCCTGTGAAAAGGGAGGGAAGGAGGAAGAAAACCCTACATGCTTTTCCCTAATGACTTTATAATCCTTAAATCTATCCATTCTTAATCTCTAATATGCACACACCTTCTCACATGTCTGCAAAATTATTTTCATATAAACTCCCATTTCTCATGCAAATCAAGCAGCTAGAAAAAGACTAAGTATATATCTTTGTCCACCCCGCTGAAGGACTGAGCTGATTCTGAACGTAAAATGGTTTGCAGGATATCTGATGTCATGATCCAGGAAGAGGCGCACCACTGAAACAAAGGCAATCTCTCCCTGGTGGTTCGAACCTGCCAGAAGCTCTTATGGGAAAGATGGGCAATCTCCTCCTGTGCAGTTTACAGCCTTGGAACCCCAGTGGAGAGTCAGCTATGAGTTGGTTCCAACTTGATGGCTGTAAGACTGAGTTTTGAAAGAATATCCAATTTCAATTAAGATTATTCCAAAACAATGAATTCATTTTCTGATGAAGGTCCTAGAATGAAGCAAAATGAATGTGTTCAACTACACGGGCCTAAAGTTAGGCTGCTAATACGTCTTTTTAGTATCAATGCCAACTCCCTGAGTTTCCGTAAATACCCCACGCTAGAGTAAATGAATCAGGGAGTTATGGTGGCCTAGTGGTAAGAAGCTGAGCTGCAATCCCAAAGGCACACAGCTTGAATCCATAGGCTGCTCCGTGGAAGATGATTTGGCAATCTCCTCCCATGTGGTTAATTGCCTCGGAAAACCAGGGGACAGTGAGGCTATGAGTTCCGAGTCAATGGAAGACAGTAACAACAACAAATCAGGAAACATGTTGTCTGCAATTCTATCTCATTTATGGACACAGAATAAAGCACTAGCTAAGCAATTCTTTAGTATTTGGTATGACAGACTGTAAGTACACATAAGAAACATGGGCTCTATAAAAAGTGAAAACACTACTGTACAGAATATTAATGTTGGAAGGACAAACATACTGGACTGTGGGTAAATATGTTTAGCTATCAGGGTCAGTGGGTTGGCCAAAGTCAGTATTTTAACTGCTGTTTAAGGTTATATACTCCTACTTGACGATACGGCATCTAAAACTAACATTTAATAATGTCTCACTATAGAACTCAGCTGCCCCTGTTATGTATTTATCTGTTGACGAGTGTCAGGGACCCTTGAGCCACTCTAAAGGAGAGAGAAGAAGCAGTCTGCTTCTGTAAATACTACATTCTGAAAACACTAGATAAAGTTCTATTCTGTGCTATAGGGCTCCGTGGGTCAGAATCAACAGTGGGATTTCTGATTTTTAACTACGTCTTTGTTCTCTTGTACAGTCAGCAGTGCGTGACATGTTCGGCTACTAACCAAGGGGCCTGGTCGGTGTTTAAGTGCATCTGCTGTCCCACTGGAGAAAGACAGGCAGTCTCTGAAAAGGAAGATTCAGGGCCTCGTAAACTCGGTGGAGGGTCGCTATGAGTGGGGATTAACTCAATGGCAGAAGTTTTGATTGATAATTCAAGTCATCTGCTTGGAATGGCTGTCTATATTTTCTATGAGGCCTCTCATCCTTACCCATTTTGCTTTATCTTTCTTAACGAATTCTTAGTAATTTCTGTGATAAATGCACACTAGAATGCCACATACACCTAATCTTAACTTAGGAAGGAAGCACTGGTAGCCTCATGGTTAAGAAGTTGCATGGCAATTCCAAAGGTACACAGTTCGAATTCATCAGTCGCTCCTTGGGAGAAGGATGGACAATCTCCTCTCATGCAACTAACTGACTCTCTGAAAAGCCACTGGAGGGACAGCTATGTGTCAGTTCCAACTTGAAAGCACACGACAACAGTAACTCAACATTCGGGCATCAGGCTTAAGTTGCATAGTTAAGGTCATGATGCAAAAATAGAGGATATGTTATGTACATACACTCAAGTTTTAATCTAGAAAATATGACCATACAAATAATCACAGCTAAGATGATTTACTGTGTACTTCTGTCACAGTGCAGTTATGGTTTATTCTAGCCTAGAGGCTGGTAAAAGACAAAGCTAGGCTGTTTGACTGCTGAGTCCATGGCTTAATATCCTTTCTCTTCTGCCGGATTAGTTCCCAGGGCCTCATCCCCACCCTTCAAGTCAAGGTCACCATCCTGGAGCCTGTTCTGTCCTCTAGGCCTGGCAAGTCTCCAAGAGTACTGGGCACACAGCTCAACTCACTTGAAGGTGTCATGAAATGTACATGCATTCTTCCTAACGCCCTTCGCTGATGCCTTTTTCTTTCCTTCTCACAGAGATTATGACCAGAAAGATCTAAGGCTGCACAGGAGCAGGAATCCAGGCCCGGTGTTCACTGGCTGAGTGCTCGCTCGTTAGCTGGCCCTATGGCCTTAAAGAAAGCCGGTCTAAAACAGTTGCTAAAGAAACACCTTTGTGGTAAGAGGGGTAGAGGGCAGAGGGCAACATGACTAAGCTTTCTGGAAGCTGCTCAGTGACCGTCCTCAAAGGAAAGGATATGGCAGTCACTGTAACCATGCCCACTGCTTCATTAATGTACCAAGAAGAGCTGGACAGCAGATGTCTCACTCATCATAAATATGAAATTCCAAATAACAATTTAGTTGAGGTAAGAAAGGAATAGATATATTAACTTCCATAAACTCTTCATACTTAATCGGAGGTAAAGAAGGAATAGATATATTAACTTCATAAACCTTTTATGCTTCGTTAATTTAAACTTTTAACATAGATATAAGCCTCATTTCTAGATGAAATCCAGATGAAAGGTATTTTTGTTCCAGGTGCCCTATGAGGGGGAAAAAGATTTGTTGCATTTCAGAAAGATGCCTGTTCACCTACTATACTAAAGCCAGTCAGAGGCCTCCAACAGTTGAATCTTCATTTTAAATATGGTCTGCAATCAATAGTGGTACAAAAGAAAAAAGAAAGAAGAAAAAAAAAGAGGTTTTCTGTATAGTAAGTAGAGAATACTTAACTGTGCACATCAAAACATGAGTTTCTCTGATGGCTGAAATCAATTTAATAATGCTCAGGACATACTAAGGAAAGCTAATTATCTGCTTAAGAAAACTGATACTAGAATGGTAATGTAGAAAAGATACGTGCCTGTGCGTGATTAGAAGAGAATAATGACAGCAAATATCATTTACTGTAACAATGCTGTGTTATGTGTCATCAAATGATTCACATGTAGCATCCTCATATCATCCTCACACTAACAGTACTCAGTCCTTAAGGCTAGTAATTTTAGATTTATAGATGAGTAAAATAAGTACTAGAAGTTAAGTAAGTTTTGCCATTGGCCTGCAAAACAAAGGCAGGACTCAAAGTGAAGTGTCAGCCAACTCCAGTGGCCAGTTCTTAAGAACAGTTATGTGAAAAGTTTTACTGACTTACTCAACTCTTATCAGGGCTTAGAGCTGGCTGATTACATTCTCACTTATAGAATGTGCTTCCTATTTAGTTAAAAAAAAAAAGAAAGGAATCTGATCTAATAATGCAGTTCATGTGTGACCATACAAGAGAGAGTCCCATTCTCACAACCAATTCTACTAAAGGAGCTACTTATTTCCAAGGACTCCATAAAATACCTAAACAAAAAGAAATCAAACATTTTTTAGGATTCTAGGAAGTTGTTTGTTTTTTTTTTTAAAGGAAACCTCTATTAACCTTAAATATAAAAAAGAGGTGATTTTATATTTAAAAATTCTACACCTCCTAAATACCAGGCCTCCGGAAACCCTACAAACTTTGATCAATGTCCATGGTTGTGGTGGGGTCACTCTGAATCGTGCTCGATTGGAGGGCAATCAACAAGAACAACCTAAATGTAAGCTTTTTATTAGTGGAGTAAATATAAGAACAAGACCCCAGTTTCCATTTTAAAAATGATGTTATATGCCATTGAGTCACCTGCGACTCATAGCAACCCTATGTACAATAGCTCTGAACCTGCCCTATCCTGAGGCAATGTCTCTGACACATCTACGTCCACTACCCATACAGTTAGAGTCAATCCATCTCATGCAGGGTTTTCCCTCTCTTGTGCTGTCTCTCCACCCTTCCAAGTATGATGTCCTTCTCTAAAGGCTGGTCCCTTCTGGCTACATGCCTAAAGTATATAAGATAGAACTTCAAAATCCTTGCCTGGAAGGAGCAGCTCAGTTTCACCCTCTCCAGGGCAGATCTATGTGTGCTCTTAGCAATCCATGGTATATTCAATACATTTTAAAAACAGGGTAGGTCAGGAAATGCAAGCATATACTTTAATTGTGTGATCTGGAGAGAAGAAATGTGAGGGCTGGCAAAAGGAACAGAGACGCAGTGGTAACTCACAAACATCGTTCAGATGTGAAATCAGGGGGGTGGAAAAGCCCTCTGCTGTCTGGCAGGATGACTGTTAGTGACAGGGATCATTTGAAAGCTGCTAAAACAGCAGTCTGGAAACTTAGCCTAAGATCTTAAGCCAGCTTTCAAATTGGACGTAAATAACATTAAGCATTAGAATCTCCTCATAAATATTACAACAGATTCGAACGGTTAATGCCAAAGTTCACGCAATAATTTTGAAAGCCGGCATTTAGCACCATTAGTATTGATTTTATAAGTGTGCACACAGGATTCCTATAAAAAAAATAGACTTTTTCCCTCCTATTTCTTTTAGTTTTCAAAGACAGACACTATTAGGTATGTAGGGATGGGCAGAAGGATAATTTTGTCTAGAGAACAAGTGTTTTGTTGTTGTTGTTGCTGCTGTTGCTGAAGTCAACTTTCAAGAGTTAAAACCATGATCCAGTTACACTCTCAGGCAAGCTATACAGAGCCATTGGCTGTAAAGGAGAGAATAATCTACATTAGTATAGCTAATGCAAAGCAAAACCTCTCGCTACGAAAACAAAAATGTGACCAGAAGACTGCTTCTCAGGGCACCAGAGCAGCAGCTTTCCTTACCCTCAGGATTTCTCTGGAGATGTAAGCGATCCAGTCTTCTTTGAGGGTGTTCCCTTTGGTGTTCTTCACAAGGTCTGTGATGGACCCAGCCCCACAGAATTCCATAACGAGCTACAGGGCATACAAGACAGACTGATGAATATATTCCAACAAGCAGAGGGCATCATTTATTTTCTCAGACATCAGAAGTGAATGAAATGCAGCCTAACCCACTCCACCTTTCCTAAAGACCTAGGTGATCACTTTGCAGACATCCAAGTTCCTCAGAGCTCATGTCTCTGCTCCATTTATCCATTATGCATCCTTGGTCCTTGAGACTGAGAGTTTTCTAATATTCACTAGCACAGCCTCAAGTGCTGATGGGCTGAAGAGTTCAACTCTCATCAGTGCCCAATGATCAGAAATCTGACTGAAATATTCCTTTTCATTTAGCCTTGAAATGTGCTATTTTTCCTCATACTCTGAACTTCAATCTCTTTTACATTAACGGAGCTTAGGACAAAAGAGAAATGCTACTACTAAGATATTTATCTCTGTGTGTGTGTGTGTGTGTGTGAGAATGTGTAGGGCACACAAACACTTGTGTTACAATGGTAGCACTTGGCAGCTAACCAAATTATCTGCAATTCAAACCCACTAACTAGCTGCTTCCCTGGACAAAGGAGTCTGTTCCCTCAAACCCTAGGCAGTTCTACTTTGCCTTCTGAGGTCACTCTGAGAGAGTTCTGGTAGCTTAATGGTAAGGAATTGAACAGTTCAAATCCACCAGCTGCTCTACACAAGGAGGATGGGCAATCTCCTCCTGTGAGATTAACAGCCTCTGAAAACACACTGGAGCTATGGGCCAGTTCCAATTCTATGGTACACAGTAACAGCAACATGGTCAGTGTGGATCAGAATCAAACTAAACAATACAGAGTTTTCAGTTTTATACCATTTTTAAAATGTATTATTTACAATATCCACTGTTTATATGATCATAAATACTTCTAAAAGTACTGAGAAACCATTTTCTACAATGCCTTGAAATTTTGAAAGCCTTATTACAATAAAAATTACTCTAGCTTTGTTTAAAAAGCTTAACACCATTAGCATAACTAATGTGATAAGCAGAGATCTGACAGTGTCTCCAGATCATAGTGAGTATGTTTGATAAGAGATTTTTAATGCACCCGTTCAAGAAATGTCCCTAAAACTTACTGGTTTTAATGAATATGATTATTAAGAAATCACTGCCAGAAGCATGGTTTAGAGTTTGTTTTGAGATTTCTTTTATATCCATGCGATCAAGATGCAATTAATTGCACTAACTAGCTTCCTATTACTTTACTATCTCACTTTTATTTTCAAGCACCCAAATTCTTTGCTATTTCATCATATTCTCTTAAAACAAGTTATTTTATTCTTAAAATAAGAATATTCTTTTTATATGTGCAAAGGGTTCAAATTAACTTCAAAATAAATACTCCGAGCACTTTCAAACAAAATACAGGCCAAGAAATCCTTCAGACTCAATCAGTCACTGCCCAATTTTTCCTTCTTTCTTTTCTCTCCCATCCCCATAGACAGCATTCTGTGCTCTCATAATACAGCCAAAGGAAAAAGTCCCACAGACATTCAGGAAACATCTGCCTACCCAGAGTTGGTCATCATGTCCAGGAGGGCTCTTTTTAATGAAAGCACCATAATATGTTGCAATGTTTCTATGATGTGAGTATTTCTTCAGCATGTTTATCTCCAGTTTGATTTCTTCCTCTTCATCCTAAAGAACAAATAAAAAAAATAAAACACATAATGCTTTTGAATGAAGTGCATGACTTTCCTTTGCCCACATACATGCCCTAATGAAAGCAACACAACTTCTCAGTTCTATCAGACAAAAAGGAGGTAAATATGCTTTCATCGTCCTACCAACACAGAGGGATCTTAAAGGAACCTATAGTTTTTATATGATATTGCAGTCTATGCCAAAAACACATAAAATACCCCCAAGAAAAGATGCGTATGTAACAGAGCATAGGACAGTGCACAGGGCAGGATGTCAGCTCATCTTTTCTGCTATGTGGTCTCAGAGCCTCCACTCTGCTGCGTGGGTCTCAATCTGTTCATCTTTAAAAGCAGAAGTCCTGATTGTGTGGTGCATAAAGTATTAAAAAATACAGGACGGTGAATTTAAAAGCTTGGCAGTTAAAATTTACCAACTGCGCTGCAGGAGAGGAAGCAGCCTCCTCTCCATGTAATTCACAGTGCAGAGACCCATAGGAGGGTCTCTGAGTCAGACCAACAGGATGGTAGTGGGTTTAGTTTTGATTTATTAAAGGGGGAGTGGGTACAAAATCAAAGTGTTATTACTTTTACTTACTCATTGCTGCTGAGCCAGAATCAATTCACAGCTAACCCTCCGTTAGGTTTCGGAGATTGTAAATCACTTGGCAGAGTGCCCATCCTTCTCCCAAGAAGCCAGAGGTGGATGTGCACCACCAGAGAGACCTTTTGGGTTTGCCCTGTAACTCCCTCTGGACTATACCACCAGAACATTCTAATCTTATCTCTTGAGTTGAAATGGATTCAGAGCTGGCCCACCAGTGGGTTTTCAATCACAAGAGAAGAAAGCGATGGGTTGATTTTAATTGTGTGCCTTTGTGTTGGCAGTGCAACTTCTTACCACTAAGTCACTAGGAAATATTTTATGAGGTTAGTGATTATCAATAGTAAAATGTTGCTCAGTTATAGAAAGCTTTTGCAAACTTGGCTTCACCCTTAACTTCCTGTCTTATTAAAACAACATGAACAGAGGAATAAACACAGAGTAGATACAAGACAATTAGGAGGCCAATGAAGGAAGCAGATAATGTCCCAGGTCTGGAAAAGACAATGATCTGGCCTTCTGAGTGAAGAAGGCTGAGAAGTCCTACCAGTCTGGCCTTTCTTTCACACACCCAGAAACAATGATCAGTGTGGCACCCACATGAGTTCTACCATACCATGAGCAAAGAGTCATATGAACAAAGATTTTCAGGTAAGAGGAGAAAACAGAATTAAAATGAGGAGGAACTCGAGAAAGGTACAGGAGAACAGAAAAATCAGCTTGGTCAGAAAAGCATGGTGTTGGAGGTAACATTAAGGGTATTCAAGAAAAAGATGAAGATGTATTTCTAGCATTCTCTATATTATATATTATTTCAAAAGCACATGCAAACTGGTTCCCTTAAAGCTTCTATATATTCTTTTTCAGTACAGACACATTCATTCCCCTTTTGACTGATGTGGGTCCTCTTTAGGGTTTCTGAGAAGCCCTGGCACATGCATGTGTGCATATGTAAGAAAGAAAGAAGTGTGTGTGAAGGTACACACACACACGCACGCGCGCTCACACTTTGAGGATAATAAGGAAGACATCATAAGACAAAAGCAAGCAGCTCACACATACACACAACTGTCTTACAAAACACCTACCACTTAAGCCTTGCATCTTCAAACTCACTCATAAAGCCAAAGAGATCACAGCAAATACTGGAAGTGTATGAAGCTGAACCACAAAAACTATTCAGGGAAGAATATGTTCCCCTTTCAAATAACTGTTTCAGGATAAAGTTTATGTATACTTTGAACCCTCCTTCTATTACACCTATGACTTTAAAATAGATGACTCACAACAAATGTTATAAAATAAAAAGGCATTTAACATCACTAATTGTCATTTATTGTCTAATTATAAGTGCCCACCTTGGAGAAAAAGCAGCAGAAATGCAGAATTCACCAAGGCTTGGTGCCAATTACCACTAAAATCTAATTATGACTAATGCTTATTATAGACTGTTTCATGTTGTCTTTAAAGTAATGAACCGACTTCTGAATTCAAATCTCCCTTCTGGTCATTAAAACAAGTTTGGTGGTCTCATTCCAGCATTTTTACACACACACACACACACACACACACACACACACACACACACACCCACTGCCACAGCCACCAAGAAAAACAGAGCAGACAACAGAGCTGGAGCAGGCTTGAACTGAAATTTTAGAACAACAAATCCCACACAGGAAAAGAAAATGGAATTGGCAAATCACTGCACAGGAAGTTTATGTAGCTCGTGTGTCTAAAGCCAGGTCCAAAATACTTGCCCTCTGCCCTCCTCTTCAAGAGGCTGCAATCATATACAGTGCCAGGTGGGAAGCAGGGGGTGAAGTAAGGTAACCTGAGGGAAAGAAGATTGCCTAGTGGCTCAGTGGTTAAGTGCTTAGCTGCTAACCACCACCAGATCTGCCGAAGAGAAAAAAGGCCAGCTGGCTCCACTGGGGTTTCCAGGCTCAGCAGCTCTCTCTATCCCACAAGGTCTCCATGACTTGGAATCAACACAGGGGCAGAGGGTTGGTTTGGGGGGAGAGGCCTTCTCAGTAAGAAAGGGAAGGCTCCCTCCTGTTTTTCCCCAATGCTAAGGCAGCTGCTACCCCCCACTTAGTGATTTCATGCAGCTGATGCCAATTAGCATTTTGGACTCAAACCAGTGGGAGCAAACTCTCATAGAAAAGGTCTTTGTCTCAGGCTGGGATCTGACCAGGAGATGAGTTTTCTGTTGCCTCCTCTGGCTGTGAGCAGCTGGGGGAGGGGGAAACATCTGAATAGTGGTAATTTTCAAAAGCAGCTATGGTTTGTAAATGAGTCATATGACAAGCCCAGTGCACTCTACCATCTGAGAGCACAGGATTATTTTAGCTGTTTGTTTTGAAAGGGTTCCTTAAAAAAGGCTGTTTAGTCTCTAGTTACTAAATTCTCACTCATTCTGAAGATGGCAGTAGGAGGTCAAACTGGATTGTGAGGTAAGCTTTCGATAAGCTTATTGGGATCCAACATTAGAAAATGTTCTAAAGCAAATGTCTTTCCATCCTGAATAACCTCCTCATAGAATTCAATGTCTTACTTGATAACAGTCAGACAGTATAGGGGCAATTTATTGTTCACTGTCTTTGTTTGCAGGAAAGGAAAACTGATAAAATGAGATGTGTGATACTTCTGGCAGATTTCAGCACCAAGCCAGTATAAAGAAACATACATTTAGGCACAATTTTCATGAAAATCTTAAAAATCTGTTTGCAAGTTTGTTCTTTTTTAGTTAACTACGACTGAACCTTTCTTTAAGTAACTGAACTGCAAAAAATGAGAACAGATCCTTTCATTTGGCAAAGCCCAATTACATCTGAGAGGATTACTCGGCACACAGGAAGGTGAAATCACCTACTTAACCACATTTCTTTGTTCCGGGATGTCAACAGGTGGAAAAGTTACATGGTAGGTAAATTCACTGGCTACTAAAGTGTCTTTTCTTTCTTAAGAGGATATATAGGAAATATATATATATTATATATATATGAAGCAAAAATCAAGGATTATAAAGAACACCACTTTTTTAATACTTTCAAGCAAAAAAGCAAGATCTAAGTTTTGTGCCAAATCCAATAACTTCTGGGATTCCAAAATCAAAGTGTAAAAGTCCTTAACTTGCTCCTTCTGCCCTTTCTTTCTAAAATCATCTTATAGAACTTGTATCAAAGTCTTCAGAGTGCCTTCCAAATTTTCCAGCCTCCAAAAAAGTTTGCCAGGCCCCATATACTTGCTGAGCATTTCAATGAGTCTGTACCGTTCAGCTAATATCTAGAGAAAATATGAACAGAATTACACAAAACACCATTCACTTGAACAGACAAGACACTGGCTGTGACTAAATGATGGAGGATGGCAAACAAGACCAATCCCATGCACTCTGCATCACTCATTCATGAACAACCTTGAGCAGCTAGGGTTTCCATGGATGAGGCCAGTAACCCCAAGGAACCCGGAGTACAGTTCGGTGGCAATACTTCACACTCCTCAGGACAACACACAGTAGAGGTGCGAGGGGGTCTTATTCTAACCGTAAATCCAAATAAGATGACTCATTCTTGTCTCTAGAATACAAATAAGATTAGGAGAACTTTTAAAAGTCCCCTGGGATCAATACCCACCAATCAGTTGCCTTGCCAAGCACCAATCTACAGGACAGAGAATACTACACACAAGAACCTTCAAGATCATAACTCTGAAGTCATAGTATGACTTGATTTCAGAATCCATTTTCTGTGTTAGAGAATCAGATAAACATATACAATGTGTACAGATATATGTCTTTATATTAAATCATAAGGAGGTAAGTATGCCACGGGACCAGGTCCCCCTGCAAAGAGGCCCCTAAAGTACAGAAATACTCCTTGAGATGGAGAACCTGCTTCACTCAAATCACCCAAAGAACAAGAATTCAGTGTTTAACTATCAGACCAAAAAAAAGGACCAATAAACAACACACAAAATATAAAAAAAGAACATTCCTGACAACAAGATTTTGTCATTTGCAACATTTAACTATGGACATGTGTAACTAAGTAACTACATACATGATTTCATTAAGGCTAAGGGAAACACTCAAAATGTTTAACAAATATTATAGATAACAGCATTTTCTTCCTTTGTTAATTTTCTACTATTGATGTGCACTACTTTCATAATTAGGAGGGGGGAAAAGCACATCAAGAAAAGCACTTATTTAAAAGCGGCTCCATAAGAATTCAAAATGAGTTTCTTCCTGGCAGCACACACAGTTCAGCTCCCTTTGTCACCCTCCGCCTCCCGGCTGCTCTAGGATCACTGCCACTTTCCCCGCTTGGACTGTTCCCATCAATGGGCACTTGTGCAGGGGGCCTGGTGGGAGCTTGGAGAACCAGAAT